AGTCACCCTAGCAACTCACCTTTCCCTGGAAAGATGGCCAGTTCAAATTGGACTGCAGCAGCAGGCATCTGGTGCTGAGTCTGTATACACCTCATAAGGAGCTGGCCTTGGCTTTCCTCATCTGGGGCAACCAATCTCCTAAGCTCCTGGGGCCAGTTCTCCTAAGAGGAGGAGTTATTCAAGATGCCCATTCTAGCAAAAAAAAAAAAAAAAAAAAAAAAAAAAGCCTGGAATATGTTCCCTATGACATTCTTTAGAATAGCTGCCTGTAATCACGACATTTGGGAAACTGAGACAGGAGGATTCATCGTTTGATTTAGAGGCCAGACTGTGCTATACCTGGACACATTCACGTGAAGCTTTGGAAGCAGTCACGACGGTGGGTTCCGTTCCTATTTCTACAGGAACAGCTCACGTTACCTCACTGACCCTCGATACTTTCAACAGAAATAGGAGGAGACCTCCGCACTGCAAGCCCGTTGCCAATGAAACTGTAAAGGGGCGTGGCTCCGTAACTTGGGACAAAAGGAACTTGCCCCTGTGATCACCCTGTCCACACAGGGTGAAACATCCCTCTAACACGACCAGGCTATCAGCGTTGCAGCTGTCAACGCCCACTGACAACACACAACCTCACCAAATGGTTGACAAATCGCACTGTGAGGGGAAAGGAGCGCGCGCGCGCGCCTCAGTGCAGCTTGGAGCCACCAGCAGCCAGGCTGGGGATCCCGGCACTTCAGCTTTCTAACTCCCCCGGCCAAAAGGCTTCGTGGCTGAGCCTCAGTTTCTTCATCTGAAAAGGGCTTTGTGGGAAGAGGCTCAGGAGAGCGCCGGCATGCAGCCCTGAAGCACTGCATCTGCTCTAGTCAGGGAAAAAGCGTCGCAGAAGACAGAAAAAGGGTACATCTCAGCTGAGGCAGGGGAATGACTGAGAGTTCGAGGACAATCTGGGCTCGCGGACAGACCAGTTCTCATACAAACAAAAGAGCAACAGGACCGAGACTCTCTCACCTGCGCAGGACTCTGGACCTCAACCTGGGCAGAGCTGGGCGAGCAGATTGCGGAGCTGGGACCCTGCGGATGCTGGGCGCTGCGAGTGGGTCCGGGACTCCGCGCGCGGCCCCAAGTAGCCACTTGGTGCTGCTCCGGCCACGCCCCCAAACCCATAGGCAGCGCTGATTGGGCTGCGCCGCGCCGGCCCCGCCCCGCCCTGCTGCCTTCGGGCTGGAGGAGGCTCTGAGGACCACAGTGCTCAAGGAGCGTGCGGCCCCTAGCCGTGACCATAAAAGTCGTTTTCATTGAGCGCTTACGGTGCTTGGCGGGCTGGGCACTTTCAGCTAGGCGGTGACCCACGGACCCCACCCGGCTCTGCCACTCAAGTGGAGGACGGGACAGACCACTGAGAAGCGCGTGCAAAACCTGCGTGCGCGGATTTATCCGCCACTGCTGGTTCTCAGGCTAGGAGATGGAAATACAGGGTCTCCAGGTTCCCAGCAGGCAGCATCCCACTTCGTGTAGAGGGGGTGCCTGCCTCCTCAGGAACCCCGGGGCAGAGTTCAACAAACTTAGTACCATGTGCCTTAGGGCGTTTGGCACCTACCTGGGGCAAGTATCCAGAGGTCAGAATCTGGGAAATTAGATATGGTTGATTCTCAAACCCTTAATGGGACAGAAGAGCTAAGACCACTCTCAATCACATAAAGTGGGGCTGGAAAAGACGACCCGTCTACTAAGAGGCTGGCATTACCACTAATACCTTCACAAACACTGTCAGGAGCAGATGCAGAGGACCCCCTGACGTCTCAGACCTGGGGTCCTCAGGGACCTAGATATGTTGGGGAACCTGAATTCTGACCAGAGAGCTTTGCCCAAGTCCTTGGTGCAACTCTGTGCAAAGATTCAGGTATATGTTAATATCTTTCTTTTTTATTTTGTTTTGTGGTGTGTTGTTTTTCAAGATAGGGTTTCTCTATGTGTACCCCTGGCTGCAGACCAGGTTGGCCTCAAACTCACAGAGATCTGCCTATCTCTACCTCTAAAGCAAGTATCCTGGGAATAAAGGCTTGAGCCACCAACACCCTGCATGTTTTTTTTTCTTTTTCTTTTTAATTTCCTTCCATTCTGCTCTCAGTTTTAGAAGCATCATGGTCTGAGTCACACTCACTCATCCAGTACTCAGGGAGCAGGTAAGCATCTTCCAAGTGTGCTGGACTCTCTTCCAAGTACCAGAGGAGTCAGTGCTGAACAAGGCTTCAGACCAGCCCTGCGTGTGACCCAGGACAAGGCCAGTGGGAGCAGAACTGCATTACGTGCCGAGGACCCCAGCTGACTACCCTCAGACAATGGTGCCCTTGCCACATCCCCATTTTCCCAAATGAAGGGACTGACCGGCATGGAGATCCCTGGGCACATGCCTGAGTCACAGGCCTATGTGCTCATGCCCACTCTGCTGCCACTGCCTGTGACCATTAAGCCTAGGAGATAGGGGAACAGGATAAACTGGGTCCTAGTTCCACACCCACCCAGGAACTGGAAGTGATGAAGGACAAGGTTCTTCTGGAGGCCAACATTTGGGTGGGAGGGGCTTGTCGGTAATAAGAAGTCCCAGGCTCTGGTGGGCCCCACCACATCTTCCTACTGATGCTCTTCATGGCCGCCTTGTGAGGTTCCTTGATGGCATGGGGTGGCTGTTAGTAGCACATCCCTGCCCCACCAAAGCATCCTAAAAGCCTGCCATCTTCAGGTCAAATTGCCATGCTAAGTCTTCCTCAGTCTGGCCATCCCTGCACCAGTTCCAGAACCTTCTGCTATCCCTCAGTTCTGTCTTTCCCTCCCCTCTGGCTTTCTTTCCTAACCTGGCCACCTTCCCCTCCTTCCTCCGCCAAAAATCATTTCTGTGTGTCAGGAACTAAGCATAAGGCAGCTTCTGGTCAACTTCTCACAGCCCAATGGAAAGTGAGACTCTGCTTACAGATAGGGACACTGGGAGATAGGTTGGTGAAGACACTTGTCCAGGGTCATCTGGTTGTCCATCTGTGGGGCTGGCATCCCAACCCAGGCACCCCGTGCAAGAGCCCCCACTCTGTCTTAGCGTAGCTCCTCGAGATTGCTACATTGAGTCCTAATTATCCAGGGCAGATATGGGGATGGCGTTGGGATGTGGTGTGAGATGTCCCCTTTTTTGGCAGCCTCACTTCCCAAGCTCCACTATGCACAACCCCATCAGCCAGTGGCATTTTGTCCTAGGAGCCCAAACAGACCAGGACAGCCCATGACTTTGGCCTCTAAGTGGCTGGAGAAGACTAAGGAGTCTGTATTTATACAAGATGAACATACTGGATACTTCAGAACTATTTCATTTCTTGTTAATTTATCAGGAAAGCTAAACAAATTTCTTAAATGGAATGTCACAGTTAGTACCGCTGTGTAACAAATTGTCCTATATTGTAGTGGCTCGGCTAGGGGTGCTCCAGTTGTATAACAGTTATTTGTTGCTAATGATATAAGTGTGTATTCATATATACATGTTTTGATACCCAGCATTATGATTATGATGCACGCACACACACACACACACACACACACACACACACACGCCACTTTTTTGGGCCTACACTGTACTAGGTGGGAGAACCTGGGAAGACACAGTTGGGTCCTTCCTTAGGGCCCCTCCTTAGCTGCAGACAGCTGTTCACAGGGGCTAGACACTGATGATGGCATTTGATACTGGCTATAGGGTGGGAGGGGCCCAGCTGGGCTGCTGGCTCTAGTGGCTCCATCCTGCCTTTCCAGTGGACAGTGCCAGGTGGTCACACTTTTCCCGAGGTGCCCAACTGCCTCTAAAGCAAGTATCCTGGAGAGTCAGGCCTTTGACAACCTGGTGTTGGTGGTATGCCTCTCTCTGTTGCTGAAACCACAGAGTCTACTCAGCTTCAAGGAGAGGAACAGAGACAGCAGCCCTACGGACGTGGAAATGAGAGCGTTTGCAGAGTTCTTAGAAAACCCTCCACAGATGACCAGGCACCATACAGCGACTCAACTAAAAACAAGCTGCCATTCCTGGGGGCTGAGCACGTAGCCTAATAATGCACATCATCTAGGAACCAGGACGGGCTTAAGCTTCAGTCCTCATCACACAACCCAGCTGTGTGTCTTTGCTCAAGTCACCTGACCTCTCTGAGCCACAACTGCTTCCCAGACAGGAACACCCATGGGGCAAATGGAGCCTTAGCTTGCTGGCTAGCATCATTCTGAGCCAGTGAGTTCAAACCCCAGCAGCTCTCATCTGTTGCCTTGAGAATGTTTGAAACGTCTGCGTTCAAGGTCCTGTCTGTCTAATGGGGACTATTGCAGCCACAACCCCCCTCTCTTAAATTATTAAATGGTTAATGTGGAAACCACTGGAGCAGAATGACACATCAAGGACTAACATAGGTACTGCCAAGGCCACAAGGAGCTCAGCTCTGATCAACTTTCCCCTCATTTTGCAATCTCAGGTTGTAATTTCTTTAAAAAGGAAAAAAAAAAGAAACTTACGACCTTTGTATTTGAATAATGGTAACATAGTCATTGTGGATGCCTGGGAGGTTCCAGAAGAGAAAGAGCCAAGATGCATGTAGTTGTGCCTGGGGGAGGGACTGGCCAGAGTCATCCTGGGAAATCCTAGCAGGAGTGCCCTTGTGACCTGGGAGCGGGCTGGGTTCTGGACAGGTTGAGACAAACGGGAAAGTCCTTCTGGGCCTGAGGAAGTCCTGTCTAGAAAGATCTTCTCAGGACTAAAGGGCCACGTGGGGCCACCCTGAGCCCATCCCCCCCTTCCCAGGGACCAACTGGGATGATGAGGGGCTGTGAGATGAAAGTGGCCAGTGGTCCAAAGGTCTAACCCTCAACGTGAAGACGCAGGCTCTCCTGACCCTGTGGCAGTCTCTGGCTGCTGGCTCACATCCCACTAGGAGCTCTTACTCACCAGCTATTTTTATCAGTTTGTGAGCTGGACACGGAGCACCAAGGCCAGGGAGCGCCACTGCTCACTGGTTTCTGTGCACCAACAAGCAGCTGAAGAACGTCACCAGGCCGCAACTGCGTCAAAGACCACTAATGAGCAGCACTGAAGAGACACGGGGTACCACTCCGTGATGGGCACAGCTCAGGAAGAGCAACCAGGATGGTGAGATGGTGACCCTCTGCATCACAGTCCCCATTCCTCTGCATGAGACTGACACTGGGGGGGGAGGGACAGGTGGGGTCCACAGCTCACTCTGACGGGAACTCTGAGGACGCTGGGGCCAAGATTCTATGAAATCAAAGTTTCAAATGCCAGAACCCTTCACGTAAGCTTCACAAGGGGCTACAGGGAGGACAGAGGATCCAGGGAGCTCCAGCCCACTAGGGCACTCCAAGGACTAGGGGTGGTCCCAGACAGGTACCAGAAGCTCTGAAATCCTTTCACATTTGGAAATTTAAATCAGGGATGGGAGAGAATTAAGAGGCAGAGCCCTCGGGTCCCTTCTAAAAGGGACCCAGGAGAAAGAAGGCTCACTCCATTTGCCATTAGGAGTGAGGACATGGCAACAAGGCATTTCGAAAGCAGCATGCAGCCCTCAGCAAACAGCCTTGCCTTTACCCCTGCCTGACCTTAGAACTATGAGTGAAATGTATGTGTACTGTTTGTGGGCCCAGGAGTGGAGTCCAGTGGTAAAGCACTTGCCCAGTGAGGTCCTTGGTTCAATCCCTAGTATCGTAAAAATGTTTAATTAAAAAAATAAACTTCTGGGACATGAAGAGATAGTTCAGAGATTAAGAGTACTTGCTGCTTTTATAGAAGACCTGAGCTCTGTTCCCAGCACCCACATCAGGTGGCTCACAAAAACACAGGTAATCCTAGTTCCAGGGGAATCTGATGCCCTCTTCTGGTCTCAGTGGGCACTTCCACACAAGCACAGACACATACGCTAAAAATAAAAATAATAAATCCTTTTAAAAAATGTGTCTAGTCTCTGATATTTTTTGTTTTAGCAGCTCAAGCATAGAGGACAACCCATGGGAGATCAGAGGACCATGTGAGTTCCCAAGGATTGAATCAAGTCATCAGGCTTGATGGCAAGCCCCCTTAGCCTCTGAGTCATCTCATCAGCCCTGGGATTTCCCCTCAAAAAAGAAGAGGTGACATGGCCTTCGTTTCTTCCCAAATACCTGGAATACATATGTGAGGGTTGAAGCAGAGCAGCCACATTGGTCCATGAGGTGCCAGGGGGTCATAAGTCCCTGTCATTCTTGTTCTCTGCATCTGCTCCACTGCTTGTGGCACGCAAAGTATTGTGGTCAAACAACAGAGAGTAAATGTCTACCCATAGTTTGGTGGAGAGGAAGGGGAGATCTTTCTTATCCAACATGACTAATCCTGACACACTTTCAAAAGAGAGTGAGCTGAGGTGTGGCTCAGTCTGCAAAGTGTCTGTCAAGTGTACATGACAAACTCCTGTAATCTCAGCACTTGAGAGACTGGAGCAGGTGGATCTCCATGACTTTAAAACCAGCTTGGACTCCATAGTGAGTTCAAGGACAGCCTAGGCTACAAAGTGAGACCCTGTCTTCAAAAAAGTGATAATTGGGGGCTAAAGACATGGTTTGGCTGTTAAGAGCACTTGTTACTCTCACAGAGGACCCAGGTTTGGTTCCTAGCAACATGACGGCTCACATCACCTATAACCCCAGGTTCAGAGGACTTGGCACCCTTTTCTGGCTTCTGTGGCATCCACACACCTTACCTACCTACATATATATGAACACATGCAAGCAAAAACTCTCTGTGTGTGTACTGGGTTTTTGAGACAGGGTTTCTATGTGTAGCCTTGGCTGTCCTGGCACTCAGTCAGTAGACCAGGCTGTTGAGCTCACATAGAGTAGCCCACCTCTGCCATTAAAGGCATGCACCACCATCCGCAACTTACCCTTTTAAAGAGACTGTCTTGTGTTTTAGCAGTGTTTTTCTTTTCCTGTTTCTGTGTTTCCTCTTTGACTCCTCTATCTGTGTTTCTGTCCTCAGGGGAAAAGTCACAAAACGGAAATCTGATTGTATCTCCACAGAGAAGGAAATCCAGAAGGCTTGGGAAATCCCAGGCTCCCACCTCATGCTGCCTCTGGCCATTCATCTGGCACAACTTCAACTCCTACAACAGATGGGCTTGGATTCACATCTCCCCACAAGCTCCCCATCCTGGCTCTTGAGCCCCAGCACCTGCCAGGTGTCCAGTTATATGCAAGGTCCACCAGAAGGCACCCCAGTATGGAACCTTCTGGATAGCCATCCTGGTGGTGCTGCCCTGCCTGGGACCAGAATGAATTCCAGAAGGTTATAGACCTGAACCTGTAACCCTGCAGTTCTGTCTTGGGCCCCATCTCCGATCCTAGTGTATGAGCCAGCCCTTCTTGAGGTGGAAAGGAAATAGCTCCCTCAAGCTGACTGCAAGGGATCCGTTCCAAGGTCCCTAGAGACAATTTGGCCACTTCCAGTCTCAAGACAATGACCAAGCCTTGTGTTCCCTCCCACCCTGCCCCCATCTAGAAAACAGACAGAGTGATAGTATGTGCTTCCCAGGAACACAGCTTACACCTCAGGAGAGATCGAGACACAGGGAAGGTCGGACCTCCTGAACTAAAAGGAGGTGGGAGGCAGGGATATGTAATTAGGTTTGTGTCACACACTCCCCAGCTTTTTGGCCTGTTGTCCAGGCTGACACCAGCTTCTGCAGCACCAAATATAAAACTCTCAGTTTCACAACTTGATGTCTCTTAAATTTGTTATTACACAGAGGGAGGGTCTTGTTTCTCCTGTCACTTTGCAAGGACATCTGTCATCCCCCCTCAACTTTAACCCTAACTCAGCATGAATGCATTTACCTCAACCCTGTTCATCTGTGAAGATGGTTTCTGAACAAGGCCACATTCCGAACAGGGTGCCTGCAGGACGTGGTTTTGGGGTGGGGGTGGGGGTTTACTGCCTAACGCTAGTTAGCCTGTACCAAGGGCTTGGCAGAGGGTAGCTGCTGAGGATAGGGTCTCAGGAGGATTAACTGTCACAGACTTTAATCATCTGGAACAGGAAGTGGGTGACCTTCATATTCCCCTGGCTTGGAACTTCACAGTGGAGCAAGAATTGAACTACAGAGCTGTGCTGCCTGAGGGGTGGGGGAGCCGGGGGGGGGAGAAGGGGGGAGGCATGACGACACCAGAACACCTGCACCCACACCTGCAGGCAGCTTCTTCCAGCACAGAGGCAGAAAGGCAGACCCTGCAGGGATCTCACCAGGACAGGATGGGGGGTCAGGATTGGGTAGGACAATGGGGAGGGGACTCCCACTTCAGAAACAGACATGAGGAGAGTACAGGACCTCACACCCCAGAGTCCAGGGCCCAAACCTTCCTTAGCCTTCCATTGTGGGGAAATATTGAGACAGTTTAGCTAGCTCATCTATTAAAGCCTTTGTTCTAGTTTTTTAATGACCAGAGGGACTGAGGAGATAGATCAGAGGTCTAGAGAACTGTTTGCTCTTGCAGAGGACTAGGGTTCTATTCCCAGAACCCACATGGTAGCTCATAACCTTCAGTGACTCCAGTTCCAGGAGATCCAATGTCCTCTTCTGGACTCTGTGAGCACTGAACACATGGAACACACAGACATACATGCAGATAAAGCACCTATATATAAAATATAAAATGGTAATTTTTAATTAAATTTAAAAATACCCCCAGGATGTAAACTGGTACGACCACTACAGAAATCAGTGTGGAGATTCCAAAAGAAAATACGACTAAAACTAGAAGCACCTTGCCCCATGTACCAATGCAGGTGTGTCCCCAAAGGAGCCAACGCCGCACAGGCTCCCTTCACACCCTGTGTGCTCACCGTTGCTGTGTACACGGTAGTTGGGAAATGGAACCAGCCTAGACGGCTGTCAACAGGTGACTGGAGAAAGAGAATGTGAACATGTACATAATGATGTCTTATTCTAGAAAACCCCTGCCATTTCCAGGAAAATGGATGGAATCAGAAATCACCAAGTTAAGAGAAGTAAGTCAGACTCTGAAGGGCAAATACTCATTTCCTTTTGGAAGAAGTGTGCAGGGCCAGCAAGATGATTTGTGGGGCTGAGAATGCCAAGCCTGACCACCTGAGCTCAATCCCCCAGAGCAGTGGTTCTCAACCCTCCCAGTGCTGAGACCCTTTAACACAGTGCCCCACATTGCATCAGCTCCAACCATAAAATTATTTTTGTTGCTTCTTCATAACTGTAATTTTGCTGATATGGATTGTAATGTAAACACATGATATGTGATCCCTCTGAGAGGGTTATTCTACCCCAAAGGGGTCACAACCCACAGGTTGAAAACCACTGCTCTAGAACCATATAATGGAAGGAAAGAACGAGGTTCCATAGGTTGTCCCCTGACCTCCACACAAGCTCCATACCCCATACACCCTCCTGCCTAAGTCAAGACAGATGAAGATGGCGTGGCTTTGGGAAGGCAGACCAGTAAGTGACCTGAGGACACAGTCCTGGCCCTGGACCATATAGGATGACATCACCTGACCCATCCTGTGTGTTTACTAGAAACTGTTATCAACAGTCATGTAGCCCATGGCTGGGTCTGTGTTCACTGAGGCTGGCGATGGCTCTCCCAGAGAGTAGTGATCACATGGTCCATCGGAGAGCTAGCCCTGGGTGATTCCGCCTTTACTCCCTTGATCCTTTGCTGTGTGACACCCCCTCTCCCTGTGCCCACAAAGGCCGTGTGACTTTGGCCTATGGAATGCAACAGGACTAACCATGCGTCAGTTCCCAGCTTGAAGCAGGAGACTTGAGCCTTGGCTTTAACTCTCAAGGGACCTCTGGGACCATCTAGCCAACATGGAGCCTGAACTGACAGCCAGAACCAACTCCAGCATGCAGCAAGCCACTTTGGACTCTCCCACCCCAGCTGAGATGTCGGCTAACTAGCAGCAGCATGAAGGAGCCCTGATGAGACCAGCAGAGGGACCACCAGGGTGCCAGCCTCAGAACATGAGGACTTGCTAGGTTTCAGTATCTACAATCTGGGAACTGAGACCATAACATGTCACCACAAACCACACTGAGGACAGAATGCTCTGGAAGCTACATGTCCCTTCCAACACAGCCAGTTCTGAACTTTAAAACTCTGAGGAAGCTCTAAGGATATGGCTCAGTGGGTAAAGACCTGCTGCACAAACATGAGGACTGAACTCAGATCCCCAGAACCCACAGAAGTCAGGCTGGACAGCTGCTGACCTGAACGTAATTCCGAGCCGGAGAGGCAGAGACAGGGGTTTCCCCACAGTGTGTTAGACTAGTGCATCGAGGAGTCCAGTCTCACTAAATAATGTAAAGAAAGATGGAGAAGACACCCAGTGTCAGCCTCAGGCCTCTACACATACATGTACACACATGAATGTACCCTCACATCCACATGTGCACCCACAGACACACACACATACAGACACACAGATATGCACATGTAGATACACACATATACACCACACACCTATATATATGATATATACATATATATCACACACACAGGCATACGCATATAGATACACACACACACACACACTTGTGTGCACATGCTTGCAAAAAAAAACCATCCTGGAGAACATTCTATACTTCTGTTATGACTGACTTTGAGTTCTCAAGCTTCCCGTTCACTCCCAGGAGCCCAGGATGTGGCTGTTTTCACAGACGGGCACAAGGCCAGAAGTCACATGTGGGCTTCTGGGCTGAACTACCCAGTGTCTTACAAGGAGGACAAGGGCCAGGGATAGAGACACAGCAAGGACAGGCCACCAGTAAGCCCAAATGGGTGTCTTCACAGTAACCTGCCTGCACCCTGCTGCAGACTTCTGCTCCTCAGAACTGAGAAGGGTGTAATAGACCTATTAAGTGGACAGAATCTAGAACCTCTGGCTATGCCTGGGTGTGTGTGTGACTTGATTACATTAATTCACACGGGAAGACCCATATTAATTGTGGATGGGTCTAAAGGCCAGGGCGCCTCTGGCTGAATAACCACAGGAGAGCATAGCATTAGTTTGCACTCAGTGCTTGTGACTGTCAGTCCTTGAGACCAGCTGCCTCAAGTCCCTTCCTGCCACCTAGACTTCCCGTCCATCATGGGCAGTACCCTGAACCGTGAGCCAGAATCACCCTTTCACCCTTGAGTTACTTAGCATAGTGTCAGGAAACCAAGCCAGACAGGAGGCTCAGCCTCCAAGGGTCCCAGTCTGAGGCCCTACTCTGGGGTGACCCGCAGAAGAGAACATGGTACGTCTTGTGTCTCTAGCCCAGGCCTGTGGTGGGGGCAGCCTTCCTGCCCCAGTGGTTCTGCACCTTTGATTGGAGGCTGGTGTCGTCCTGAACCTGATGAGGACAGGGAACTGACCCCAGCAGAGCAGTCCCTGCTCCTAGCTAGACTGTCCCTGCCATGGCTCTGTCTAGGTGCTATCACTTTTTTGGAGCAGCTGATCACCCACAAGAGTAGGAGCAGTAGTTGGCTTGAGACTGCCGGATGCTGTAGATGCTCACTCATTGCCAGCATGCTCCAGAGGCCGGGACCGCTGCGGGGCTTCCCAGCCGGAACAGCAGGTTCTAAAACAGAGACCATTCATCCCCTGCCTGTGACAGCCAGGCCCTAGAGGGTCTGCCATGCCATCCCTGCCACACAGCTGGGAAATGGCGAGGGAGGCAGGAACCCAAACGAGCCAGCCCGGGGCAGAGGCCACCTTGTGCAACATCTGCTGATGGAGCTATGTTCACAAAGCCGCTTTATCCTCCAGGTGTGCAGAGGGCTCGTCACCCATCAGACACTGTCTCCGTGGAACTGTGTCAGTGTGACTGAGCTGGGCAGCCCCTCCCCAGACAGCCTGCTTCTCCTCCATGCCCAGGTGCCCTGCTGAACCGCCGAAGCTGAGCATGCCATGCATTGTCTCTGGAACCTACTGGGCTCAGAGGGGCCACTGGAGCTACTGGCTTCTCTGCTGGTCCTGAAGGTCACAAGCCTGGGCGAAGGTGTAGACAGACCCAGAGTCTTCCTAAACTTCAGGCGAGAACCACTGTGAAACCAAAACAGGAGTCACATTGTTGCTAATCAGTCATGTTGGCATACATTGCTAGTAAGTCTCCATACCTTACAAAGAACAAGCTTCTCTTTCCTAAGCCTAATGTATCCTGCAAAATGTGTTTTTCAATCCACACTGAACTTGTGACCTGGTGATGTACACCACCCTTTTGCTTTGCTAAACTCCTGAGCCCGTGATATATGACTGTCCTTTTGCCCTATGAAATGTGTCTTCCCAGATTCCTTCATTACACCCCTTCCATGTGATGTATTCCTGCACTATCTACCCCACAGGCAGCCTCGAGCCCTGATTGAGCCCCCCACTCTTCTGTCTAGATGCTAACAGCCAATTATCCCGACAGCTGTTTTCTATCAACCCTAACCCTTCCCCTTACAAGGGACCTCAAAAGCCAGTGAGGGGCTGCTCTCTGAAATCCCCGACTTTGGGAGAGGCAGCTGTCTGGCCAGTTCTAAATACAGCTTGCTTTAATCAGACAGACCTGGAATTGTTTTTTTCCTCAGGTCTAACGCACCCGCCATGCCTCCTCTCGGCCTCTAGCGGAGGCCAGTGTCCTGAGCATTCCTTGGCTTGTGACCACATCCAAACCCCACCACTGTCACATGGCATTTTCTGTGTGTCTATGC